CACTCAAATGACTTTGCATAGTCAATAAAACACAGATAGAAATATTGTTGCTGTTGTTGTTAGGTGCCCTTGAGTTGCCTGTAATCCATAGCGACCCTATGTACAGCAGTTCTGAACTCTGCCCTGTCCTGAGCCAGTCTCACTGACTGACATACAGACCCCCATTGCCCTAGTTACTGTATCAATCCGTCTTATCTGGGGGCTTCCTCTCCTGTGCTGTCCCTCCTCCACCCTTCTGAGAATAATGTCCTTCTCCAAGGATTGGTCCCTTCTGGTCACGTGCCCACAGTATGTGAGACAGCATTACAAAATCCTAATCTCCAAGGAGAAACTTGGCTTCACCCTCTCCAAGGCAGACTCATTTGTTTTCTTGGTGGTCCATGGTATGTTTAAGACTCTTCTCCAGTACCAAGACTCAAAGGCATCAATTATTCTGTCATCCTTAGTCATTGTCCAGCTCTCTGATACATAGCAAGTAATTGCAAAGACCAACACCTGGATCAGGTGCACCTTAGTCTCTAGACTGACATTGTTGCTTCTCAATACTCTGGAGACGTCCCTGACAGCAGATTTACCTAATGTGATTCATCTTTTGATTTCCTGACTGCTAGTGTTAACAGTGTTGATTGTGAAAAAAAACAAAACAAAACCGTGTTGATTGTGGAGCCAAGCAAGCTGTAATTGTTAACAATCTCAGTCTCTTCTCAAACCATCATGGTGCTGCCAATTAGCCCAGTAGTGAGAATCTTTGTCTTTTTGATGTTGAGATTCAATTCATACTGACGCCTACAGTTCTTGACCTTCTTTTCTGTAGCAAGCACTTCAGGCCTTCTTCAGTTTCAGCAAGCAAGGTTGTGTCATCTGCATAGTGCAGGTTGTTGATGAGTCTCCTCCAATCCTGATTCCACATTCCTCCTCATATAGCCCTGCCTCCCAGATAATCTCTTCTGTGTATAGTTTGAAAAGGTACGGAGGTAGCACATATCCCTTCAGGTAGACAAATGTCTGGTATTCTCTGCTTTCAGTCAGTATCCATCTGACATCAGCAATGAAACCCCGATGCTACGACCTCTTCTACATGCATCTGGAACTTCTGACACTTTCCTGTCAATGTTCTATTCCAGTTGTTTGAGGATGATCTTATGAATATTTTGCTTGCATATGATTGGCACAGGATAGAGCAGCGTATAGGGCTATTGTACATAGGGTCACTATGAGTTGCAGGTGACTCGACAGCACATAGCAACAACATTATATTAATGATGTTGTTTTTGTTGGCTTGCAACTCATGGTGACCCTGTGTACAACAGCCTTGAGACCTGCTCTATCCTGTGCCAAATTTACTGTCTCTGACAAACCTACCCTCATTACCCCAGACATTGTATCAATCCAAAGAGAGGGTCTCCGAGGGTCTCCCTCTCTTTCTCTGTCCCTCCACGCTTCCAAGCATGATGTCCTTCTCCAAGGACCAGTCCTTCCTTGCAACATGTCCCAAGTATGTCAGATGAAGCCTCAGAATCTGCCTCCAAGGAGCTGCCTGGCTTCATCTTCTCTAGGATGATCCTGTTTGTTCTCCTGGCAGTCCATGGTATAGTCAACAGTTTTCTCCAGCACCACAGCTCAAAGGCATGAATTCTTTTTCTATCATTCTTAGTCATTGTCCAGCTCTCTGATGCTATTGTTTGCTTATTTCCACATTTTGTTGGATCACCTATCTTGGAAATTAGAACAAATATGGACTTCTTCCAACCTGTCAGCCAGGCAGCTATCCTCCAAATTTCCTGGCATAGACTGGTGAGCACATCCAGGGTGGCATCTGTTAGTCAAAATGTGTCAGTTGGTGTTCCATCAATTCCTGGGGCCTTATTTTTTAGCAGTGTCTTCAATGCAGTTTGAACTTCTGCCTTTGTTACCACTGGCACTTGTTCACATGATACCTCTTTAAATTTTTTAGAGTCAACAGATTCTTTTTGGCCCAGTTATGGTGCATTTCTGCCATCTTCTTTTCTAAATTTTATTTTATGTTGGTTTGCATACAAAACCCAAATATATCATGTTTCACCTATTCCATCATTCACGTGTTTCATATAGTCATTTTCTATACACTGTGTTTTATAAAAACATTCACACTATGGAACACTATGCAGCCCTTGGGAGCAATGATTTAGAAAAATATTACATAATATGGGAGATAGTAGAGAACATTCCATTTTCTTTTTGATGCTCCTTGGGTTATTCAAGATTTTGTCTGTGGCATCTCTCAGTATTGCAACTAGAGGCTTCAATTTGTTTTTCAGTTCTTTCATCCTGAGAAATGCTGAGTGAGTTCTTCCTATTTTCTCCTCTAACTCCAGTTCTTTGCACATTTCATTATAATAATTTGTTTACTCTTCTCTAGTTGCCCTTTGAAATATTTTGGTCTTTCACCTTGGCATCTCTTCCCTTTTGGTTTGGCTTCTTGATGCTCTAAAGTAATTTTCATAGTCTTTCAATATCCATTTTGATATTTCTTTCTCTTCTGTCTCAGTAATGAGCTTTTGCTTTCTTCATCGATGATATCCTTCATTTCATCCCACAGCTTCTCTGGTCTCTGATCATTGATCACGTGGTCTATGTGCCACGACAGAAAAACTGAGGAAGAATGGTGTTATGATCATATTTAAAAGGAAAATTTCAAAAAAAAAAAAGAAAGAAAGGAAAATTTCAAGCTCAATCTTAAAGTATATTGTTGTGGGTGATAGGATAATATCAATACACATACAAGGAAGACCTGTTAACAGGACTAATATTCAAATACATGCAGCAACAACTAAAATCAAAGAGGAGGAAATTGGGGCTTTCTACCAACTTTTGCAGTTTGATATTGATCAAACATGTAACCAAGATGCATTAATAATTATTGAGGAAGGGAATGCAAAAGTTGGAAGCAATGAGGAAGGAAAATACGGACTTGGTGACAGAAATGAGGTTGGAGAGTGAATGATTAAAGTTTGTACATTCAATAAGTAATTCTTAGCAAATATCTTGGGGAGCTCTGGTGGCCTAGTGGCAAGAAGCTGCACTGCAATCCCAGAGGAACACGGTTCGAATCCACCAGACGCTCTGCCGGAGAAGGAGGCGCAATATCCTCCTGTACCAGTCAGATCTGATTTGACGGTACACGTACACAAAATTAAAAAAAAAAAAAAAAGCAAATATCTTCCTCTATTTTTTTTTTTTAAGAAACACTTTACATATGGGCCTCACCTAGTGGACTGTACTTGAATCAGATTGACTACATCTGTACAATTATTGGAAACAGTCAATACCAGTCCAAGTGCTGACTGTGGAACAGACCATCAATAATTACTCATGTGCAAATTTAAAGTGGAGCTGAAGAAAATGAAGACAAATCCACAGGAACCAAAATACGACTTTCAGACTATCCCACCTAAATTTAAAAACCCTCTTAAGGAGGGACTTGTGGCATTGAATGAGACTCTCTTTAGGGCTCACCAATAAAACGCTATCATTTTGAACATATGAAAGTGAACCCCCCCCCAGAAGACGTCTCAGGACAGGACAAGGTTCTGAACTGAGATTCATAAAGTCACTATCACTATGAGTTGTAGTCGACTAACAGCACATAACAGCAACAACAACAACAACAACAATCTGTTCCATGATAGAAAAGATACTCTAATGCTGTCTCTTCAATTCATCCAACTTTAAATTTGTTTTTGTGTAGTTCTTTTTGAAACTTCTGAACATGTTACTAATTTTCATGATATCAGTAATGATCTTGAAAAATTTTTATTGTTCACTTATTTATATAAGTGTTCCTTTCCGAATATTGTCCTATTTATGTGAAGATTTACCCATCCTTCACTGGCTTCTTCTTTCCCCCACAACCCCGCCCATTTGTTCACTTTCAGTAATGGCCAGGTGGCAGATACATGTCAAGAAAACTAATCACTTTCTAACAGGATTTAGAATGACATTAAAGCGGATCTTGTGTCCTTCCTCTTGCAGCTTTAAAAGCCCAAGGTCCGTGCCTACTCAGAGATTATCCAGCCAGCAGTTGTATCCCAGGGCGCCCAAGCTCTTTCTTCTTGAGGCTAGTCAATGAGTCGTGTGAGATTCAATATGCCATCTTTTCAGAGACTTCGCTTTGATTTGTGACCATAACTTTGGCTAGCATGTGTATTCTGGGATCCCAAGGGAGGCAAACGCATCTCTTATTTTCAAGGTGATGACATGGGACAGGAATGCCGCGGAGCCAACGAGTCTGTCCTGCCGGACAAGTTTCTGCTTCAGGACGCCTCTAAACCTCCGCCACGCTGCAGTGTGTCAAACAGATGCAGCCGCGGAGTCATTTGAAGGATAGGTCTGAGCGCTGTCAATACTGCCCAGGAGACTGGGGCAGGTTTTTGTCATCCTGACAGGTGCTCTCTGAGGAGACTGCAGACTCTCACTGCTCAAGTTCAAGGGTTCTGCCAGGCTCTCCCCCACCTCCCTTGCACGCCCCCAGGGACTTCCAGCCGGCGCCCCTCCCACTTTGTCTCCAAGCCTACACCTGTGCGTGGCAGGCAGGGGGCGGGGCCGTGGGCGGCCCCCTGACGTCACCCTCCTGGAGGGGGCGGGGCTGTGGGAACCGCAGTGCAGCGCAGAGGGGCGGGGCGGGGCGGGGCCTCGGGCTCGTGACTCGGCTGCGGGAGGCAGGAACCGAGGGAAAGGTGTAGGGGGCGGGCGGGGACCTGGCGACTCAGGAGTCCGGCCCGGGGGGCGGGGCTGAGAGCGGCTGGGCAGCGGCGACTGGCGCTGGGCGAATTGCTAAAGCGGGTCACGCTTCCTCCTTCGCTCCCCGCTCCTTCCACTCCTCCCACCTGGGCCTCTCCGTGGAGACGCGCACCTGGCAACCAGCGGCCGCGTTCCCCGCGACCCCGCCTTCTCCGTTCGGGCCGGGCGCCCCGATTCTGCCCCGCACCCCGACGCACCTCGGGCGCCCGCTCCTCGCCCTCTGCCGGCGCCACGCTCGCCGGAGGCGCCCACGAGCTCTCGCTCGTTGATGCCGTTTTGGGGGTGACCCGGGCGTGGAGGCCAGCGGCGGCGGCTCCCTCCCCATGGTCGGGGGGTGCTAGTGCCGGACCTCGAGTGTGCCGTTGCAGGGTGACCAGACGCCCGGCCAGCGGAGCCCCCGCGCGCAGCTCGGGTTTCGGGGTGCTGGAGGAGGCCGTCACGGCCACGCGGGAGCGGGAGATGTTGGAGCTGAGACACCGGGGAGGCTGCCCCGGCCCCGGGGGAGTCGTGGCGCCGCCGCCCCGCGAGGGAGAGGCGGCTGGAGGCGACCACGAAACCGAGAGCACCAGCGACAAAGTAAGTAGAGCGGGAGAGGCGCTCACCTGAGCCCGGCCGGGTCCTGGTTTGGGCTAGGGCACCTGGTGGCAACGATGGCCCTCCCTCCCTGCCTGGGCGCATGTCCACCTT